AAAAATAAACCTAACAGCTCGCGACGATAATACGAATTCTCGTCCGTTGCGATATTAATAATAGAATAATAATAAAATAATTAATGGCAATAATAGATGACATTAATAATAATAAATGATCTTTCGTAATATACCAATTACTAATATTATTTACAGATTTATATAGGGGGCCTCGCGTGAAACAAAAGTAACGTCTCTTTGCGCGAGAAAGCCTAAAATATCGCGTCGTATAATTAAGTGATATTTTTTATTCTACAGGCCCCCCCCCACCCCCTCCTTGGCCCCTCCTGTATTTACTGCACGCTCTCGCAGCATATGCTGGAAAGACAATTGTTTCGGGCCGAATGTATTTATTGGTTGTTTCTAATAAAAATTTCCTTTGCGCATGATCCGCAAGCAAAGCCATTCCCATCGGGACGTCACTTTTGGTACACGCGGTATATATTTATGTCTCTATATATACTTCTATTATAAAGTATCGTTGAAGATTCCATTTATATATATATATATATATATTTATATTTATATATATACCTCTTTATAACATATAGTATTGTACATTATACGCGTTAGATTGTGCGACTATCTACATGTATCATACAAAAACACTGAACCTGTCTGGCGCGACGGTTTTACAAAAGTCGTGTTTCTTATTTTTAAATGCGCGCGCTCGTGCGTCTATGACTTTTTTTTTAACGTGATTACTCTTGTGTCTACGTAATTGTTTATGCATACGTTGTGCGCGCGTGTATTCGTCTACTTGTTTTCATCGTATATAGGTCCTTTAGTTTATCATTTATTTTCACGGATTATCACATTTTTCACTTGACCGAGGACACCATTACCACTAGCGTCGTCACCACCGTCACCGACCGTCATCCATTGACTTCATCGTCATCTTCTTCGTCGCGGGATTACTTTTCGTGCGAATATCGGCAGAATGCTATTTAAAACTCCCTCTCGCGCTTTCACGTACTCGAGACAATCGTTATAAATGGACGATTTGTTATTTTGAGAAATCTATAATTTTAGGTAAAAATCATCTCTACTGTGATAACATCGAGATTTGATTGTTGGTCGGTGAGTATTTTGATTATTCAATAAAAATCCAAAGATTTCGTGTTCTTTTTTCTATATAATTATAAATTTTGTTATTGATCAACAATAAACGATGATACTTTGTATTTTGGATCGTTCTTAGAAATTCAAAGGTCGGAGAAGAAGACCGTAGGATATCGGTATAGGTATTGCGTTAAAGCTTTGGTCCATATACTGAATATAAAAAAAAAAAATATTTTGCAAAAGTACCATAAAGGCGATAACAAAGATCATTCCAAGTGAACGACATTCGGACAGTCGATTTTCATCTGTCATCAAGGAACATTCAAGTAGATGAAGGAACTATGAAGAAATTTTATTTGAACGGATGAGAACTCTGTGTCAAGTAGAGATGATCATTGAGAAAAAAAGAAAGTGAAGTAAGAGTCTACTCGGAGAGTACTGCTGATTAGGAAACAAGAGTGACGTCATTGGTATCGTCCCAATTAACCGGTACGCTACCAAGATCCGTAACCATAGCGTCGCTTCCTGTCTGATAAATCGGCCGAAGTTCTTGACGAAGCTGAAAATCCAATCGACGATGATGACCATGAGCACAAGCACCACCACTTCCACTACTACCACCGGTACCAGGACCAGGATCGGTATCAGCACCACCGGCGCCAGCAGCAGCCGCGGCAGCAGCAGCAGTAGCACGTTGGACGACGGCCTCGTAGGCCGCGGCAGCGACTCAGGCCAGGGCGTAAGGGTGGGTTGCGTGATGTCACAAACCCGGTGCCGCGGAGGTCGGAGGTGGCGGCGGTGCGCTAGACGTCGCGACGCTTGCCGCGTGATGATACAATGGGCTCTGATAGTAGTCCTGGTGATGATTGGTCATGTTGTGCATCGCCGCTGCTGCGGCGCCATTCGATCCCGCGTGCATGCCGTTATGATGATGATGGCTCGGTGGTGCCGCATGATGAGGATGATGGGGTGACCCGTAATTCGCATAGCTCTGATGCAAATCGTACATCTTCAGCTCGGGAGGTTTGGTATCCTGACTACCAGGGGACGTCCCTGCCGTGGCACCAGGTAGTAACCTCGTGATGCTGAAGGGATGACTGGCCGCTGTGTATGGCGGCTCTTGCTTGAGGCTCCCAGTCATTCCGTGATGAAGGGCGCTTGGATCTGCCAAGAGATGAGGTGGTAAACTGCGACCGACCATGGCCGCGAGTTCTTCGTGAGCAGCACCGAGATCGGTACCGAGGAAACCACCGATATCGGTAGCGTCGCTCTTCAGGCTGGTGTGATGCTGATGAAGGGTCGCGCCGCCCGTGTGATGATGATGATGAGACGAGACCAGACCGTGTAGATCTTTCTCGTCCTGCTGCTGAGATCCATGATGGAGACTCGAGGGTGTTTTCTTACCGTGATTATTTAATTCGTGAGAGGAGGGACTGCTATGGCCGGTGGTGTGGTGTTGCTGATGCTGCTGATGCTTGTTTGTCTGCCGCGTCAGCTCCTTCTTCTCGTCCTTGAACCTCTTCTGCCGGCGGAGATAGCAACCATTTTCAAACATGTTACCACTGTCCGGATGCAAGGTCCAGAAGGAACCCTTGCCAGGTTTATCAGGCGTACGCGGCACCTTGACGAAACAATCATTGAAGCTGAGAGAATGCCTGATTGAATTTTGCCAGCGCTGCTGATTTTGTCGATAGAACGGGAACAGGTCCATTATGAACTGATAGATCTCAGAAAGAGTCAGCATCTTGGATGGCGCATTCTGAATAGCCATGGTTATGAGACTGATATAGGAATACGGTGGTTTCGCATGTGTGTAACTTCTCCTATAAGATTTATCCGTTCTGGCTCTTTGAAGGGCCGAGTTTGGAGAATCTGGTTCCGCTAGAGAGAGCGGGTCTCTCGTGACACCAGCACCACCTCCAGGAGTCAAGGGTCCATATGCGCCGGCACTCATACAAGCACTACCGCCACCCATGGTTGCACCACCATAGCTGCCCATTCCTCCTCCAGCCATAGATGCCATACCCATAGCTGAACTCATGCTGCTCATGTTGAAGCCACTCGCACCCTGAGGACTGCAACTTGGCCCAACTCCAACTCCCATGGACATTCCCATCGACACGCAGCCCATCGAATTTATGGAGCTGTAGGTCGGCGCCATGCTGCCCATGCTGGACATGGCAGCGCTTGTCATGGCACCGCCGAGGCTACCAGCCTCGCTGTATAACTTTTGCGACTGAAGCATTGTCATAGAGATCGACGGGGGGTGTCAAGCGAGAATCATCAAAAACTTAAAACGGCGATCAACGCGCCGCTGTCTCGGTCACACTAGGGCCCTCCACTTTGAACAGTAAATAATATGTATTCCTGAATGTACACTCTGCGACGTCTCAAGATTTAAATTTAGCTTTTCCTTCCGGCGGTATAGGAACTTCCTCTTAAAGATTCATCTCTGTCCGAACGTTTATCAAACAGCAGTCAGACACTTCTTCAGACGTTTTGATTTGTTTCCCTTTTCTCTTTGCTGTACAGTCCTGCAAGCCAACCTGGAGTGAACAGACTGGTGGTTCCTCTCTCTCTCTGACTCTTTCTCTCTCTCTTTCCTCTTCCCTCTCTCCACTCCCTTTCACCAGTAATAAACACTGAACAATCACTGGAAACACAGGTTTCTTGTAAAGAGATCGAAGAGCATAACAATACTATCGACTAACAGCAGAGTAATGACGAGAGCGCGCGAATCTCGCCTCATAAGTCGTCACACAAAAACGAGACACAGATCGGTCCCGCGAAACCGTCACAAAACCGTCACACAACTATCACAAACTGTTTAGATACATGACCATGACAAGTGGTTGTCAAACGGCGATTCGTCTTCACTCGCCGTCCAAGTCTCTAGGACGGGCAAAGAGGCCCACGTTGCCCCGTGGCTGGCCAAGAAATCCTCTGGCTGGAGTTGGCGCCGTTAATAGTCACGTTAAAAAGAATGCCCGAAGAAACACAAACACACGCGGACAACAAGAGCGCGTCCCGAACAATGCGTGTCCGTAGTACTCGATGACGTTGCGATAGGGGTAATTGTTGTCCCAACAACTATATACCACACGTAGTCGCAGTTATTTGCGGCTGTTTGAGCCCTCTCTCTCTCTCCCTCTGTGTGTAGTGTGGATGGAGGCCGGTTAGCGAGTGTACCCCGGTACTCTTGAGCCGCGGAGTCTTGTTCAAACACTCCCCTCTATACCAGACTCGCTTGGCTAGTCGTGACCCCACCCACGAAGTAGAGCCAGCCAATAGTAAAAGGATGGGAGACTGGTTCGTGTCCCCTCGGCCAATCGTGACGGACGCTTCGAATGTTTCGGCAAGCAGCTACCCTCGGGGTGGCAACCCCGTCGACAGCTGTGCCAAGGGACGAGTAAAGTCGCGCATGCGCACAATGGTAATACGGTAGTCTGCGCAGACGCCGTTGTCGTTGTCGTCGCTGTTTCGGCCATCTCGCACCGCCGGCGACGGCGGCAACGGCGGCGTTTCTGCTCGTTGCGTAATTTTCGACGTCGCCGACGTCGTCCTGCCGTCTCATGTCATGTCATCTGCCACACATTTGACACCTCGAGACGCTCTGTACCGACGTGAACGCGACGCTTTTTTTTACCCGGCATCCCTCGAAATCGATCGAGACGCGTTTTCACTTCACTAAACGCCTTACGTCGCAACGATATTATTTAATGGAAATTCAGATCTGTGTTGATGCGTCACATCTACTTCCTCGCCCACATTCCGCGACGGTATTTTAGTGCGCGCAATAGAACTTTACGTGATTCACCATTTCCTCACTGATATACCAACACGTATTACATTTCGCGATAAGAACAGCGTCAATGCCTCAAGGATTCTCTTGCCAATAATATTTCACTGCGTACGTCGGATCTGACGATTCACAGGAGACACGATCTGTCCGGATTCCAGGTGGAAATCATTCTGGTAAGTGTGATCGAAGCGACGATCATCACTGACGCTTTAAATTGCCTAGATTCGAGTGCTTTTCCGTACAGTAGCTAATTGCCTGCGATGTCACAAGTGTTTACTCGAGATTCAATCCACATTTCTCGTTGCCTATCACACGGAGACACGTCTGACTCTCTCCACAGTTATTGTTCTCGTCGTGGCGCCGCCATTATAGTTCCTTGAATGCATTACGTATATAGCTCTGACGTCGGTACGTGCTTCCGAGACATTTTTAACTGGGTCGCGTAAGCACCAGGTAAAGAATATTTATACCAAAGGTGTCCTAGTGGTTTCCCAGGTACCATCTTTGTTTTTCATCTTGTGGCTTACACGCCGTAAACGATCATCCCACAGGATTACCACAACGGGTTGCCGATTCGTGTTTTATTGCTGTCCCCCCGGTCTAGCCTAAAAGGTGCTATTATTTCTCGAGGGAATAGAAAATGGCAACGAAAAAAAATGAAAGAAAAAAAAACGAAAGAAACAAAGAAATATACAACCTCCATAAAGATCCGAAACAAACATTCAAGTGTCCCGCTCATTTCGTCGCACTTTTTTCTATTTCTCCCCATTCGTTCGCCAAACCAGCCTGCGATTCTCTCCCACGCATTGCCAAACCAATGGTTTCCTTTTTTTTTCATTTCAATTGCCAGCAGCTTTGTAATTGAACCGTGGACAGTACGTTTACCGGATACGGACTAAAATGAACTCAAGCCCGGAAATGAATGTCTCTACGTCCGGTTGCTCGCGGTAAATTATCGCCCGAAAGCTACGAAATTAACAGGACTACCCCTACGGCCAGTCAGATTGGGCCTCGGACCGGTTGGCCGTTTCAAATCCGCGTCCCCCTCTAGAATGAGGTTTTAATCTCGCTGCTTGTTTCCAACCCTGAAATTAAAAATATCTACCCACACGACCCATTCATCCTTTACTGTCCCCATTTGCTACACTTCGCAAGTGAGAGATATACATCTCCTCGTAGCATTGCCAACATTATTCACCAACCTGTGGCAACACTATTATGATATATTATTACATTTATATAGATTGCGTAAATATTAAAAATTTTACTGACTTCTCTGGTAATCGATTAACGACGCGTTCAATCATCGTTTTAATGCTCATTTAAAAATAGATATATCGCTATATGCAAACGATCAATATATATATATATATTGGTCGTTTGCATATTATATATGGTTAACACATTGTATAATATGTAACTAGAGATTCTGTGACTGTACGTTTGTAAATACTTTAACTGGCAAAATCTATTAACATTAGATTCGAATGGCCACCTGTACCGGGTCTTTATCGAGCCACCAATTGTTTGCGGAATAAAAATATTATTCCTGTAAACAAGTGAGACTCTGTTTAGTATTACAGGGGCGCAAGGCTCTTCGATTCTTCGTTCGAGCAAATACACTAAACCCGCGCTACGTTTTCGTTTAATGAAAAAGGAGACAAGGATAGTACTGATTTAATTACTTATTCGGAATATTTGGTCTCACTTTTTTTTTTCTCCGATCAAAGACCCTAGGAGCCACGTGTACTTGCTATATTTGATCATTGTGGATATATTATACAGACGGACCAATGGCTTGGTTGGTCTCCTTGATAAAAATGTTTTGTCATTTTTATAAGGGTGAAGAAACGAGCGATGAGTTAAGGGGCTGAAAAGGGAAGGAGAGGAAGAAAAAAAAAACGTCCTGCTCAGGTGGAGTGACCCATTGTGGCTACCCTTATGGGTGACGCGTATTCTACCTGGTCCACGTGGGTGGCCCCGTAGTTTCTTCTCCTATATTAACACCGATGATAACTAGACACACAATGCACCCCTTAGCTTTCTTCTATTCTTCTGCCGTCCTACTTTTTATATTCACCTATTTTTCACGTTTTCTCCCTGTCTTCTCTCTTCGCCCCATTTTCTCTGCACTCACGGATCCTCGAAACCGTACTGCTTTCACGTCTGGTACAGTCGCGCGTTTCCAATGTTTTAATCTGCCGATTCTTTTTTCTTTTTCCTTTCTTTTATCGAATTCGCTTGGAACGCCGCTGAAAAAGAAAATTTGGAAAATAACATTAATTCTCTTTCATGCGTCGTCACGCGTCCCGACGTCACCGTGGGCGTTTTCATGGCCGTAAGAGTTTTCATGGAAAACTCATATACATATACCTTGACGATTGTTTTTTTAGTACGGAATCGCAATGCGCTCGCAGAACGTGCAGGTAGTGTCACAATCGGATGCGTCGTATGTACCTGTTGTCGAACGTGACTGAAAAGCGTGCGTAGACGATTTTGAAAAAGCAAGTAAAAATAAGGGGTGGAAGGATCCCAAGAAAGAAAATTGACTTCTTGACGGCGCGTTTGTTGTTCCTGCGCCGACGTTGGAACAACAACAAATCCTAGGGGCCCATAACTGAGAGTTTCGGACGTCCAAGGTGGGCAACGTTCCCTATAATCGTGTGACAGGTACTTTGCCCTCGTTCGCCCTTAGCCTCCTTTCGGATATTTTTCTAGGGCGATCCGATTCACGGATTTACGAAAGAACTCGCCGACGCCTCACCCATCCATTTCGGGACGCCAAGAAGACGCAAACTTCAACTTGAAATACCTCGGAAGCCTCCTTCGATATATTCAGTATTCTAGGGTAACTCGACAAATAACTTATTTGTTAATTTTAACAATGAAAAATATCACTTGCCAACATTTTACGATACAATTGGAATATTATGGGAAAAACCCCCACAGGATTTTCACAGGACTCGATATCCTCGACTGTGACCTACAATTCTGTCGAAGGATTTGACTTTGTAATTCCATAACACAACATCCAACTAAAGAAAAAGGGATCTGGCACAGTTTTACCAGCTTAGTAAAGTCCTAAGAGGAAAACCACATGACACTGTATAGTCATACTACAGAGCATACCGGCACTCGTCCATAGTCATTCGTCAGCTACGTCATTCCACGTGTAAAATATTATTGAGTTTGATTACCCTGGCAAATCCTAATCTGCTTGATCCTTCGAACGCTGCTTCAAGGATTTCCTTGAACGTTTACAAGAGCCGCGTCTGGTCCTTCGTTTGTCCCTGAAACGATTCGAAATTTCGTAGGCACAAATTTGCCCGTGAAAAAAAAAATTCAAATTTTTGTTACCCTTAAAAACAAATTATTACATACCTTTGGCTACTCTCTATAAGTACGTACGTATTTCTAATAGTAATATATATATAACTTGTATAATAATATATATAACTATCCTTACTATCCAATCCTATGGCGCTGTGGAATACGTAAGCTGTAGGTTATATAACGATATTACATAGGGGTAGTAAAGAGGAAAACGAAGGGAGAGTACTGTATAATATAGAGCCATTTAAAAAACGATGATTCGAGTGTGCCCTATCTCCACTTGCGTTCCACAGAAGCGTAGCGTCACGTGTCGTGCGTGCCTCTTCGAGCTTTCCCCAGATTTCCAACCCCCTAAATCAGCCCTACGTTCTCTCTGTATCTTCCTAGAAAACTCTGCACGCTACCTTACGATCATCCCCAACGAGATAATAATGAACTACACATAGGGTGGGAGATAAATCTAAAAAAAGTTTCAAAAACCACCCACTCCCTTGTATACACATATATATATATATATAGAAGATATGTAAATTCTTACTTTTGCACCTTGACCTCCGACCTTGTCCCCCCACACTGTACGCCAAAGGTTCTTTTCAAAATTTTCGACCCTGATTCATCCCAGCTACTAAATGCATTTCGACCCTTATTTAATGGTACGATATATCAATACCATTGCGTCACGTAGTACACGTACACGTGACAGACGATACGCGGCCATCTTGTGCTCAGAGATGGAATAAGAAACAACCAGTAGAGAAGTGTACAGAAGTGATAGGAGCCCGCAGAGAAAGTAAAACAAAGCTAGTCAAGACCTTGTAAAGTTTCGAAATTATCCATAAAGATGATAACCGTACAGGAAACCTGCGGATATTCGAGAAGCGATTATTCTCGTTCGCTAGGAATTTATGCTTTTGTTTGTCCGACGAAGGAGAAGTTAGTCACCGACGGTGAAGCTTGAGTGTCGTCCAGTGAAAAGTGAAAAATCGCTTGTCCAATGTACGGGTCACGTTGACCCCATAGCTAATCCCACCCTATTGTCATCATATTATCTGATGTTTGATGTCAAACGTCAAAGTCCTCGACACCGGACTGACAAACAAATGAGTCACGCAGTACGGAAAACTTTTCGGAACACGGACGAGCCACTGTTTATCGATCCGGTAGAAAAAGTGAAGAAACTGGTAAGATGGAATACGTTGAAAAATTGAAAAATATCTGAAATCTACGTACCAAATTGACGTATAAAAAAAAAAGGTACAAGGAACATATACATATATTAACCTAAATAAGTGAAACGTACAAGACACTGAATTTATAGTATAGGCAAGAAGTGAACGTCGAGGGTTGAAATTGGCATCAGTCACTGATATCCCAATTGGTAACAAGCGATAACAATTGCTGGCTCGTTGATCGATAGAAAAAATGAAAGGCAGGTGCCGGATGAGTCTGCATATGAAATATAGTAAATTAGTAGCGATTTCTTATGTGTCCATCACTCGTATTTCCGCCCCACGTTGGAATCAGTCAATTTTAATAATTTCCACCTCCCGATATCCCCTCGACCCTCATGGAGTTGATGTCTCTTTAACGCAGCCCCCTGTGAATATCCTTGAATGCCCAACGTGACTGGTAGAATTCACAGTGCCGTCGGAACGATCCGGATCGTGAGCTCCCACGTAGGTATTGATCGCGTTTGCGTAAAAAAAAAAAAAAAAAAAAAAAAAAAAAAAAAGGGCGAACCGGAAGTAAGATACGGATAAAGGGATAAAGGAACCCTTGTTTGAATTGACGTTCTAACGCGTAAGAAAGATTGTGAATCTCTTCTCTTTGCGCTAACGCGTAAAAATTATCAGCTCGACGCCATCGAGTCCCGTGATGCCAAGAAATGCCGAAAGTTGCAACGTTGGATACCTCGGCACGTCGTTGGGACGTAGTGTCCTACCTTCTTTCATTCCACCGGGTCTTATTGTCGGGAAGACAATGGTCGAAAGTGCAAAACCCAAAATTTTACAAGCGGCTACCGCTCTCGTAAAGTAATTATCGATTTACGACTGGGGTATCCTTCGTTTTTCTAACCTTGGCCGATACCCACGCGGCGGCAGGTACCTCGAAAAGATTCGCGGCAGTAAAGAATTATCCAGGATCGTAACGTACGTAAGTATTATAAGGCGCGGTGAGACCCACTCGTGAACAATGGGCCTTACCCGCATATCCTGAATGCCAACAAGAACTAAAAACAAAGAGACAGTAAAAAGACAAAAACAATTATATACGAGTACAAATCCACAAAGATTTTAACGCTGCGATCTTAACGTCTATACCGAATAACAGTATGAAAAAAGTTGGGATTTTGAAAAAAAAAAAAAAATATTTGCATTCCGATATCTGCACACATCTCCGATACATATATATCCTCTTAATATTTTCATGATTCGTGAAAACTACGAAATCGCGCAACGATGCATTTTCCAGGCGTCCTGACGGAGGCCGTCCCGACGGAGGGTCGATTGTGTCAACACACCATGGCAGCGGTGCTCTGCAGATTTACTGTCGTACCTACTCTAAAGAAATTTCACCAAAAAAAATTATCCAAAATTTTCAATATTTTCCTTGTGATGGATAACAGTATTAAAAAATGCCGACGATCAACCTTATTCCCGATTCCGAAGTTTTCTTATGATCTTCATTAAATCATCAGTGATAGCCGGTTTATCAATATACACCCAAGTGTGTGTGTGTGTATATATATATATATATATATATATATACGTTCTATAGATTAGTCAGGGGCGTAGTAAAAAAAATATTGAGATAGATTTTGTTAATGGGGATTCCTATATATGTATATATTTATCTTAGATGTTAACGTTATCGTAACTGTTACTCTTACCCTTACTTTTATTATTACTTTCTTACTTTCACTTGTTCCAGATGTCGCCCTTCCTCGACACGATCTTCGTGGGAGGATTCGCACCGAAGGCAAACACAGATCCATACGCAAGAAAAACACCTACCACGGCCAATCACAACATTTTGCCTATCAGTGTTGCCGACGTAGCCACCATTAAATGACGTTTACATCGACGTCATTACTTTCGAAAAGAAAATCGACATGTCAATTTCTCACTACGGATTATAACGAAATCCGTTGATTCTCAAATCGTACACTTTTTATTTCACGAATACTCCAACGAATTAACTTAAACAATACTTATGTACAATTTTTCAAAATTTCTTAAGACTTAAGTACATTCCTGTAATACTTCAACGTACTTTCCACTGAGTGCTTATGTATTTATTTTTCGGTAAAGTTATTCTCAAAATTCGAGCTCGGGATTACTTGCCATTCTGTTATGCTCGATTTACGCTTCCTACCTTAAGTAATAATAATAACAATAGTAATAAAGGTAAATATTATTACCCATTTTGATTCAGGATATTCTGATTTTCGTTTCATTGAAAAATTTTAAGTTGCGCAATATTAAAAATTTTCCATAAAAATCATTCTTTCTTTCTTTTTTAACATCAATGGCACTTTGAGATTCCGGAAAGTTCCAGTTTAAAGTCACTGAGCTGTGTGTCGTTGTTGTGTCTTTATAACCTATCCGAATATCTGCCTATATGTATTACATATTGTGGGTATATAGACGGAAATCGAGTTTAAGGCAATAATTTGTGGTGTTTTGGTCAGTGCTTATGAATTTTTTTTTCTGGAATTTTCGTTAATTTTTTTCTTTTTTTTTTTTCTTAACATTTCACACTGCTCTCTCTGATACTTCTTTCATATCGTTGATTAAGTACACGATGGACGTAATATATTTTTTTCTTCAATAATATTAAGTGAGCGTCAGACACGTCGGACGGAGAAAAGTTGTGACACAAAGAAACGATGTGCACGCAAATGTGAAAAATGAAAATTTTCATAAAGCTAGAAAAAGTTAAAACTATAAGACAAAAATGAAGCTCGTAATTTGATCTCGTGCATTTCGAGCACGAAGATTTATCAGGCTCTTGGCCAATTCAGGAAATCGAATTTTTTCGAAAAATTTTAAATCCTGATCAGAATACCGAAATCCTTACAGATTTCCCGTTAGTCATTTTCAGTCGTGACGTCTCAGTGACACGTACAGTGTTATTCTACATACGATCCTTTTCTTTCTGTCAGATATATAGAGAAATATGTATAAAAGGTCCTTACGTCATAATATTCTTAATAAAGTACTTAGTGAATATAAATGCTAAGTCGTTAAGTTCTCATCGTGGGCAAGAATACGTATGGGTTTCTCATTTTTGTATAAATAAATAACGTATACATATAGCAAGCGATCGGCTAATGAACAATGATAGTGGTAATGGTATTATGAAGAAGGCACTATAGAAACAAGAGACTAATTCGCATAAATAAAATGGCCCTATAAGCAACTCGTATAAAAAAAAAGAAAGACTAAATTTCAACTATACGACGAACGTAGAGAAATAATTTTTGATAAAGTTCCAAGTTCCAGAGGAAGAGCATAAAAAATCCATGCATACGAATATTAAATACATAAATTTACAAATTTCAAATATATCCCTAAGGACAATCCCATTGGCCAGTATTAAACTCTAAGGCAGTTATCTCGTTATTGCTTTACTCGTGAAAAGATCCTAAAGACATATACGGACTATATGTGTATATATAATTAATAATTTAAAAAATTAATTTTCCCTCAAAGTTCTATAAGTCAGTAACGGGACCAGAGAGACTGGCGTTACTATTGTTAACAGAAGTGCCGGACGAAGATTGGCCATAATCGTTGGTGGATGATGCGCACGCAGAGTAGATCTCATTGTTGTCCAAACTGATTGATCCCATATCTTCCTCATGGACCATCCTGCTGGTCGCAGTCGCAGGGACATCCGGACTGGATTGGTCGCCATCAGCACCGTAGATCTCTCTCTCCTGGACTCCCACCAGCATCTCTAGCCTGACAAATCAGGTTTCGCGTTACGTTCTCTTTCCTTAGCGGCATCCCTTTCAATTGGGTCAAAGAAAACATGGTGTAAGATTTCTCGGAAGCTGCGAAAGCGATAGTATCAGGGCAAAGCCATGCTGCCAACTAAGGACACGGGAATTCATATTAACAAGAGTTCAAGTGTCGCGGGGCTAAAGACTGTCATGCAAAAGCCATCGTCTCGGAATTCGATAACCACGATCAAAAAAAAAAAAAAGAGTGAAAAAATTCGCAGACGATTTTCGAAAAAAAAAAAAAAAAAAAAAAAAAAAAAAAAAAAAAAAAAAAAAAAAAAAAAAAAAAAAAAAAAAAAAAAAAAAAAAAAAAAAAAAAAAAAAAAAAAAAAAAAAAAAAAAAAAAAAAAAAAAAAAAAAAAAAAAAAAAAAAAAAAAAAAAAAAAAAAAAAAAAAAAAAAAAAAAAAAAGAAAAAAATTTTTAAAAAAAAAAAAAAAAAAAAAAAAAAAAAAAAAAATTCCGAGAAAGATGCCTCACAAGTCTAAGCTCAGTCACATGAATTCATAAGAATTACACTTAATTGAGGTACAACTGATAACAGGGTATTTCTTCGCGACAGATAATTATCCAATAAATACACCTGGCGTCAGTTCTAGTAATAGTAGTTGCATAAAAAAATATAAACGGGGAGGTGGTTACTCATATGGCAATGACGGTGATGGCGATGGATAGGATATTATAAAAAAGCATGCACGATGAGTGAATGATAGACCTACGTGCTATTCGATATGTACAGAGTAGCCGCTAGTAAGCCCCTGAGAGACCCTTGCGACATGACGCTGAAATTTTTGGCTGATAACCTAAATGTAGGCTGTGGTGTAGGTGGCGCGTGAAGGTGCTGTCAGGACTCTGGATGTCAGGATTTTCATAGAGCACAACTTTTTCGGGACAATCGAGGTGCCGCCAATAACGGAGACGTCAGGGATCTCGTTAAGATCAGGATGACCCATCAGGACGACCTGATCGGATCCTGCCTCATCGTTCTCAGCAGCCTCCGCAGCGTCTTCTGGACTCTCAATAAAGATTATGGATCGATCGTCAGGTTTCGAGCAAGCCTTGTCAGGCTCTAAGGCCGATTTGCTGAGTAAAGAAATGCCATCGCTCTGATTTCCACCTGGTAACTTAATGAGTCTCTCGAGACTCCCGTGGCTCTTTGAATTTCGCACGATGCCATTTGCATGGCGAATCTCGTCTCGAGCGTTTTTTTCGGGAACCCCCACGACGCCTTTGGTTCCACGATTATCCGTTTTCTTGCGCTTCTTCGATAAGCCCGCAACTGCTCGTTTCGTTTGCTTCGCTTCTCTGCCGTTCGGCAAAGTCTTCTTAACTTCCTCCGTTCCGTGCTCCTTCGAGACATCCGGTTTATCCACGGAACCTCCGTCCGGCGAACTCCCAGGTTTCCTCGTGCCTTTCTCTCCCGTGCAACTGGCCGCTCCGAGCGCTTCATCCTCCCGCGGAGTTTCCGCTGCTCCCGAGCAAGCTCTACTTCTCCCACTGTCCCCGCACTGAACCATACTTTCCGAATTGATGTCCAGACCGTCCGAGCAACTCGAGACTGTCTTCCTGGAGGCTTTGCTATTCGTCAAGACTGAGGAGGATGCCACGGGGAAGCTGTTTATACAGAGTGTACTGCGAACCTCGAAAGCACCGAGAACACCGAAGGATTCCTTTTGAGACTCGGCCAATTGCCCTTGCGCGTTGTCTCGATTTATCGAGGAAGCCGAGGACGTGAGGATCTGATCGATTTGCTTTGGAGGGCGACCGACACCGGATCGGGATGAGGAGGATGATACCGTGACGGGAGTGCTGGTTATACAGGGCGTGTCGAAAGTTACAGGCGTGACGGGTCTTGCTACTGCGCTTACGCACTTTGCTGCCTGATTCTCGGCGAGGGTCCTCGAAGCGCGGGCCTCCTGGAGCTCCCGGCGCAGCGCCAGATTTTCCTCCTCGAAGACGGCGATCTCGCGACTCTCGTTGCTGCTCAAACGTACAATGCCAAAAGTGCGTGAATGAGTGATCGGAGACAGTGCAAGTGTATCGTGATTAACAAATTATTAAAATGTGTTAGAGAGAATTACGGTGATTTTTTTATATAATATATATATATATATATATATATATATATATAAAGTTATCATAATCTTTTATATAATATATACAATTGTCTTTTTCATCGATACATCTACTAATAAGACATAGATTGGAGGGAAACGATTCGCTTTGAACTTTCGTCAGGCCAAACTGAATCTCAAATCCAAGCATGAGTTAGCGACTGTGTCGGGAAGTCATGAAATAATAAAAATCCAATAATATAATGTATCTGACATATATCCAAGAATATATATATATATAGCAGTTATAGTCTCGGGACAAGACAGTAATCCAATGTTATTAAAAGAAATACCTACTTTGCATTTATTTTCAGACTCGTTATTTCATCCTCGAGTTTCACAAGTCTCTTGTTGCTCTCCTCTTCGATTTTTCCTAATTGATTCTGGGAAAGATTAATTGCTCGATATTAGCCACAGTCAGCTTCGTTTGTACACCTCCGCTGAAAATCTTGACTCAACAGATTAATCTTATGTGGGAGAACGCAACGGAGAATTCCCGTGTGTTATCGTCCAATTACGGAATTACGTTCCGAGCAATGCCAAGCATTATGGCGAACCGGCAGCCATTGCTTCCTCTTGATGAGGCTAATGGATGGGTGAAACATGAGAAGACTCGGGTAAGGAGGCCAAGGGAATGGCCAAGGGAAAGGTAGGGGATGTTAAAGAGGGAAAAGAAGGGGAGAGGGCAGGGCCCTGACAGTCGTTAAGTGCCCCACCCTCTATTCTGGCCCTCTGACATGTATATATTCCTGCTGTCCGCCCCTATCTGTAACCTAATCACTTTTCTACGCTACGGATATTTCGTATTATGTCTACATTAGCCTTCTATTCTGTTCCAGGTTCTGCCAAGTGGCTCCCCCGCTCTTCTACCCTTATAGGAACCGGATCGAATCGCATATGGCTTCTTAATCGCACCTTCCCTATGTGTTCTTACAGCTACCATTCGTTGCATTTAATATTTTTACTCATTTTGTGGACTCTAGTTGGCGAAGGATTAGCACAGTAATGATAATTGTTATAGAATGATACGTTACGTTGGATAACAATAGACTTTTATTGTTCCTTTTCCCTATAGCGACTCACACGAGATTTCTTTATTCTTTTCCTTGATATGGCCTTTGCTCTATGGTCTACGCAAAACGTGGGGAGACTGAGAGAAACTCGCAGTGCGACGATAATCGAAAAGGAAAAGCGTGTAGGTCCTAGCATGCATCAGCTGGCTTGTCCTAATCAAACATCGCATGAACATTGTGCAAACAGTACATGGAGGAACACGCCATGGGAGGATGAATGTGGTCGCGTATACTGGAATAATGGCTGAATGCCAAAACCGACCACCCTTCTCACTTTTATATTAGTAGTACGAGAATGTGCCCGACGCTGGCTGTTATTATCATACAGTATCGGATAGCTGCTATAAGTGGAAACTATATGCAGCAAATATCTTTGGAAGTGCGTCATTCAAAATGAAAATTATTATTTGAAAGTACTGGTACACGTTGATACTAACACGTCATTTCCGGTAGAGATTTAAGCTATTGCTGACAGTCAGCGGCTTTCTACAGAATAGGGTTTATAAACGGCAGTCGATTATTCTTTATACCTGGAAGAAGTGTTTAGGGTAGGCATCAAAGGCACCGCCATTTTAGCCTTCCTTCAAATAAATTTTTCATAATTATTTGAGAATGGTACAAAGTAACGATAGTCAGTGAAATTTCTAATTTTAAACTTTGAAGAGCCTGTCAACTCTGGTTATCAATATTGCGGATGATTCATGTATGAGCAATTTTCACTGTGTCTTTTGGATAACAACTACATCCTTAATGATATTTCGAAGGAATTGATAACGGGGTTACGGAATTAGTAGTTTCTATTTGTACTCACTTTTAGTTCGTCGAATTCCATCGATCTTGGCGCCACGGGCTTGTCCTCCATCATTGACTTTACTTTTCTGATTAGTGTCTCTTCCCGTACCTTATTCGCCTCCCTTATCTCCCGTACAATATCTACAAATATACATGTAATAGTTAGTGCAATTGGAAAATAGAAAAAAGATTGAAGTTGTTGTGCGTTTAAATAAATATCCGTGAATACGTAATACGAGGTAGAATACTGTAATCACTAAGTAGGATCAATAAATTACGTGGCTGTTTACCTGATAACATTCCGGGTTGATAATCCAAGGAGGTAGCATGTTTATATCGTGCTAATTCTGCCTTGACATCTTCTAAGTCGGACTTTGTCTCTTGCAGCTCTTTGAATAATTGACTGTTATTCTCTTTTAAAGCTGTCATCTACAATTAAATGAATGAAGTAAGGCTTCGATTCTAATCCATGTCAATGTATAAAATCTATTATTCCGTAGAATTTATATCTTATCAGGTGCTTAATCTAGAATTTATATATTATCAAAGAGAAATCTTGAGTCCCGATGATAATGAACATATTAGATATAATAAACTCATAATTTCTCTTATGTTGATTTAGATCAATGAGTCTGTTAAATAAAATTACCTGTTCTATCAACGATAAAACCAGCTTGCTGTTTTTTCCTACAGTTGTTATTGAGCTTCCACTGTCTATACTTTCTGAATCTTCACTTTGGCAATGTGCTGGTAATTCTGCAGGACCTAGACCAGGATCCGAGTATCTTCTATGTTCAGAATTAAGTTCATCTCCTGCAGTTCCATTGTCATTATTAGCACTAGGTGGCAAACTGGCATAGTCTCCATTCTGATAAGCTGCAGGAGCTGAATAATTCAATCTATTCTCCTGCAGACTGGAGTAGCCATTCGAAATCATATTGGCATTAGTTTGTGATCCAATTGGATGAGTTTGAGGATAGTTCCTCCTTGGTCTACCTCGAAGAGTTCTATATCCAGGTCTAGGTACTGGTTGGTATAACCGATACATGGGTGGCAGAGACACAGGCTCCATAGCATATGTAACAGGCATCGGCGAATATCCACAAACACTTGGATCAGACATGGCAGTAAAAAGACGTTGGCCATTGTGAAGAGGTATGTGTTGCTGCATTCCTGGCTGTTGCCAAAATACATTGGCGTACTCCATACTTGGACCCTCTGCACCGTTTTGTTCAGTTTGTCTTTCATCGGACCGATGTCCAAGAGAGCTGCTCTTCTTAGCATTACGTCTCTTACTCTTTTTTAAATGTCCCGTAGAATTACGTCCGGATGGACCCGACTTCGAGGTCTCTGGCCTACAATATAACAATTAGTTTTCTAGATACCAATAGTCGCGGGAGTATGGTACATGATAAACAACCAAAATTTAAATGCTTACTTTTTGTTGTCCATCTTCTCTAGGAGCTCCAAGTCGCCCAAGGTAAGCCGGACGCGTGTAGAATTCGCAATGCACGCAGGAAAAACGCTGACGAATCAGTACATGAAGAAATGGGAGTGCACGAGAAAAGACACTAACATAAATTTTTTCACGTTCACCTGACGACGTTGAAGACGTCACTGCTTGGCATAGGCGTCGCCATTATTTGATTTTACAGTTTCATGCGGGCGGCGTCCCGATACTGTGTATTAAATATTTCCACGTCGGATAAAACTTGTTCTATTCTTTTTTAACGACTACTCACAGCCGCGCGCGATAAATCATTCTCGGTTTCGATACTGCCAGACACTGTGCGCCTGATGTATCCGTTATTCGAAAGTATATTTCAAAGATATTTTTGCGTGAACGTTCAAACCGATCGGGTAACTTCGACTATCTTCGGTTAAAGAACGATGATAGAGGTGGACAAAATGACGGGTGGGCGGTATTGGCTTAGTTTCCACCGCAATAAGAGTTGAGTTGAAACAAGGTTGAATCAGAGTTGAGTCGAACGGTAGTGCGGTGGAAACGCCAAACTCAATTTTAGACCTAATCCTACGAATGATGCCAGGTTGGGCGAAATCAGGTTTGGTGGAAATGCGCATCTGGGGTCGAACTGGAGTTGTATGCGGTGTTGCCAACTATGTAGTACGAACAGTTTGAAATGTTTTAAAAGATCCAAAAAGATCCTACTGGATCCTACATGCGGATCTTGTGGATTTATAACGTTAGTTGAAAAGATGAATGAAGAAGATGCATATAAATATGTTCAACCAAAGAAGAGAAACATTTGGTTGGTGCATGAAACAATGTGTTGTTGGTATAGCTGATATTTCAACTCAACTCCCATCAACTCTACTTGAACTATGCCTAGTGGGAGTGCGGTGGAAACGGCTGAAGGTAGAAAAACTGGCCTCTATTTAAGCTCTATTTGAGCTCGATTCTGTGTCCGTGGAAACTAAGCTATTGTTAATTTAGATTATTCAGATTAGTTTTATTTTAACAGTTTAGCTAGGATGAGTGTTTTCATTTTGCATGAAAACACGGTGTGACCTAATTCAGCCGATGTAACCTAACCTATTCTTACTCCAATCTGTTTTCAAAACATATGACGTGATATTGCCAAACAACGCACAACAGAATTCATAAGTAATGCCAAATATAATGTGGGCTGAAGTTTAAGTGTATAATTGTCATATGCAATTTGTAAAATGTATTCTCGAGGACTGAGAACCCATAGACTTATCTAACACGACCACTAATAATTTCCAAGGCCAAGAAAGCATCTTTATTCACGTATAATGAAGGACATCACTGTGTGTGAAATAGATTTAAATGGGCTTGAGGCTAATCGAATAACATTATGGACGCAATGGTTTGAAGATCATTTTAAAGTAGTTTTATTGCCAAGTAATAATGTACCACTCAGTGGTGAGGTAAATTTCATGTTACAAATAACTGATTTTATAGTTTCGAATGACAATTATAATGATATTAATCTTTTTATAGGTAACAACGGAACAGATTGATTACTTTGCTGCAAATGATAAGTCTTGTAATACTCGTGATGAGTATATACAAAAAACAAGAAATATTCTGTCAGGAAGAAATTCAGGAGTGTATCAATTTTCTCTGCAAAATGCTAAGTTCCGATGGACAGAAGGCATGTGGGACCGTGGAATTGTTGAAGTAACTCCATGCAATATAGAGGAATTTTCTAAGGTTTTAGAGAAATTTCTTGTGCAGTACCGTAGTATGGAAGAGTCGGTTAACAAGTTGGAATCAGAAAATATTCACCTAAAGCAAATGTACATGAAACTAAATGACAGCCTGGAAAGCATTTCAACTAGAAAAGAAGAGCTTGAACGAATTTTATTGCAAAAGTTTCTTCTCCTTATAAACTCTAAGAAAAAACGAATTAGAGAATTAGAAGAGGCTGCCAAGAAAAGACCAAGAGAAGATAATTCCATATACGATACTAGCACTGATGATGGTGAATCATCAGATGTTTCTGAAAATGCAATCAATAAAAATAAATCAGCTAATAATTACATAGTTGACAGCACATCAACATCAAAAATAAGAAAACTTGAAAATTTGTGCACTAAAACCAATGAAAATGCAAAAGAAAAAAAATCAAGAAGTAAAGAAGGAACGTCGGTAACTAATATTAGTAATCTTGACATAACAGAAGAAGAATCGGAAGAAGATTTATTTACATAAAACAGACTAAGCATGGCTGCTTAAAATTTTCAACATATTGAAATTTTTTAATTATTTATTAGCTGGATACAATTTATGCTATGTGAAGCAATCATTTGTGTGCAAATAATTCATCTATTGATGATGCAAGTGAATTAATGTGAAACAAACGTTGTTTTTTTATAAAAAAGATGAACTTGAAGTTAATTATTCTAGTCAATGTAGAAGACATGAAAAAAATTGTTTACACAAATTATCATAAACAAATAGCAATTTGCTTGAAATCTTCTGCCATAATATTCATTCAACACCTAAAATTTTACATTAAAAAAAAACAAAATATGATTTTTCAAGAACGACCAAAGCGAGTAGAAGGAAATTCAATTAATACTGGATTAATAATTTTCCAATGTCTCGACATATCGTCACATTCCGTTTCTTGAAGAATACCCATTTTATAAAAAAGCTGAGTGCAAGTGATAGCTTCTCGGATGGCTCCACTTCTTGAATTAAATAACAAAAAGTGTGTGAATGGATAACGTGGTGGCAATGAAATGCTTCTTCGAAACTTTTCTAATTCAATCCCAAATATTTTCCGTATAGCTGCTGTAATCAGCTGTGAAATAAGATGAATTTTAAAATTGAAATGTATAGAAATTCAGTATAAATTACAAGTAGCAGACAATAGTCTGCATACTAATTTTTATAGTGATACTAGAAACCTGTATATCATGAAAATCTTGAATACCAATTTTGGGACAAGAGGAAGAATCAATCCATATTAATCGTCTGCCAGTTATAAAGTTTTTCCTAAAACTCTTCTAAAATAAAATAAAATTAGAAGAGAAACACCTTTTTATTATCTTATGCTAAAGAACGTAAGTTAGATATAAAAAGGATATAATATGAACTGACTTCATATTGTGGCAACCCAATATTTATTATCCAGGAAACAACGTCTTCGACATCCCATTCCCAAGGATCTGGCTTTGGTAAATTATCCACGACTGCTCCAGCAAGCTTCTTCAGACATAAGGGTGGCTCTCTAAAATGCACCAACCTCTGTAAATAAATAAACAAAATTTTTATCATTGATTAGCTTTAAATTGAAACTAACCTTGATGGTGGCCATCATTTTTGCTTCTTGTAAGCACTTCATCGTTTTATGTTCTGTATTTCTGCTTCGCATAATTCTGATGATTACAAGAATCTATATACAAAATTGCTCCAGAAAATTGAATTCTCGGAAATTCAGAATTCGTAAAAGTAAAACAAATATATTTTGTAGGATAAGAACCAAAAATACGAATTTGACTACAGATATTCATTTATATCAATAAACCCAAAATTTAATCAATTTTTTTAATTATTGCGTGTTTACCCAGAATCAAGCAAAAATTTTTTCACTCGGATGATAATTCTACAATTTTTAAAAGAATCAGTAGCGTTGACTAAGGGTAAATGACTCGACATTTTACTGGTTGTTGGAAAATCAGAAAATTGTTAAGTGACATCTAACCACACCTAGCTATGGTAAGATGCCTACACTTTGACAGGAATCATCTTCAGTCAATAATTAGGAATATCTATCGGCAAACGAATCTTTGCAGAAATCGTACAGAGCAGTGCAAAGCCATTTAAACAATATGGCGAGATCTGGACCTTCATTTATAGTAGATGATTAAAATGATTGTTTGGAGTTAAATATAAGGTAATTATCTTGACACGTTCCACTTGAGGATTGACAACAACAGGTAATTATTTCTAGTTTGGTTACAACTCAATGGATTATATTAGTAAGGATTTCCTTGATGACCTTAGTTGTCTAAGTTTGGAAGAAGCTGTCAAAAAATGTTATGAGGGATTTAAATTAATAACGTTACAAAATTTATAAATATTCTGAATTTTTATTATGCAGTTAATTCTCATATGTTTCACTAATATGCGTTTGTGGGAGATTAATGTAAACATTTGTCCTCGATCACTTATAATAGTTTGACTTTTATAATAATAATTATCTGTACATATTATTGTTTTTATTATTATTATTATTGCAAAAAATGTCCTAAATATCTCGGTTCTATTTGCTCATTAGCAAATTTTTGTAATAAATTTACATATATGCACGATTTATGGCAAATAAACATTAGTATATATATATATTAACCCTGTATATTGATATTACTTACAGGAATCTATGCAAGGATATAGGATTGGAAGTTTAAGTAATCATGAATGCCTTAATAGAAGATTCACACGGCGAATTAATCACTATATCTATTCAAGAAACAGACACATTCCGGGAGCTGAATAAACGAATTAAAAAAGAATATGGATTACAAATGGACTTTACCAATTTACATGGCTATAGTAGTTTTGATTTAGATGAGAACATTCTTGCTTCTCTGTCAAGTTAGTATTTAGATTTCACTTTCAGTAAAGTATCAAAATACCTTTTTGTTCATGTTATAATACGCATTATGTTTTGTGGCCTCGAATTACTTTATACAACATAATACACTTTCAGAAAATGATCAATTAATTTCAATAAATACAGACACATCCCTTTCAAATCACACTGAAAGTGTCATAGAAGAAACTATAGATGAAGAATGCATCTTGAAAGTACAACCTGATGAAGCTAATGTGGTTGTTTATCAGAATGACATAGACATACATGCAACTTCAGAAAATGATGAAGCTATTGAAATGCATAAAAGTTATCAGCTCATAACATTGGATTCAGGAATAGAACTTGATCAGCAGGTGTTAATTAATTCTACAGACGAGAATGTTTTTCTTCACGCAGACAATTCGGAAATCACAGAATTAATGAGTTTAAGAAATAATAAACGATCATACTCTAAAGATACAATGCAAACAAATGCTAAAGTAATTTTAGAAATTACTAATGATGTGGCTTCACCTTTATGTCGACTTTGTGCCAATAAAAGTGATGAAATGGTATATATTTTTGGAACAACTGAATCAAGAAAGGAAATAGCAGAAAAAATTGATGACTGCCTTCCCATTACAGTAAGTCTTTTCAATAGCATAAATATTTTATATTATCAAGTCAACTTTGGAATTAATTTATTTGTGTGTTTTACAGGTGAGCGAGATGGATACTCTTCCAAAACAAGTGTGTCATTCATGTTTAGAGAAACTTGAGATGTGTTATGAATTTCATAAAACTGTAATAGAAGCAGAAGCAAGTTTTGTCAAAATGGATTATGGAAAATTGATGCAAACAAGAATGATGAGAAAAACTTGTCCACTTTGCAGACAATGTACAGCTAAAATAAATACTGATCCAGATAATATTATTTCTCTGGCTGATAATAATATCGCTGAACCACTTTCTTCTCTCCAATTAAAAGAAATGGGTATTATTGACACGACAGAAATGAACGAATTTCCACCTAAAGAAGAAACAGAATATATAGAAAATGATATCACGAGAGATGAGCATTCAAGTGACTGGCAAATTACTAATGAACAAATCAAAAATGAATCCAAAAATTCAGAAAACAGTATAAATGAAGCTCTAGTTTCTATGGTGACGCTGGAGCCTATAAAAATTGCTTCATGCGAAGAAAAACAAGAATCAAATCGAACAAAGAATACAAATTTCTATGAAATGAGATTAAATATGGCAGAGAATAAAGAAAAATCAAAAGTCGAAAAATTGAAGAAGAATTTGAAACAATCGGGACTAAAAACTGATACAGTAACTACAATTGAAAAAACCAATAAAGTATATGAAAAACAAAAATTATCAACTAAAGACCATACATATAAAGAAATTAACATGACAACTGAAATTAGTATAGACAATGGGGGAGAATGTAATGCAATAAAATGCCGTATATGTGGAGAAACTTTTGAGACCACAAAAAAATGTTACATGCACTCAAGCATTCATGCTATGAACGGTTACTATCCTTGTAGTCTTTGCGAAAAAACATTTATAAACGAGGAAAATTACAACGACCACAGCGTAGAACACACTGAAGGTAAAAAGTGCGAGCGAAGATCTGCAACATATGCATGTGATGAATGTGGTAAAAAATTTGTTAGCGAAGAAAGACTTCAGTTTCATATGAACTTTCACAAACCAGAAGCAAGGCCATGTTATTGTGAAAAATGTGATAAATTCATGGTATCTGAGTCATCTCTATACCATCATTTAAAAACAGTTCATTTGCAGTACAAAGAGTTTTGTTGTGACATCTGTGGCAAGCAGTTCAGGTAAATATCCTGTTATTCTTAATTTGTCATAACATAGTAAATCTATAAATAATTTTTGTATTCAATCAGAGCACAAGCACAATTGGACTCCCATCAAAGAAAGCACAAAGATGAGCGACCGTTCGAATGTACAATATGCAAAAAGCGCTTTTACTCTAATGAAATTTTGAAAAGGCACAAAAAGTTACATCTTCCTGATAAACCTTATCAGTGCGATCAATGTGGCAAGCGATTTGACAGAACAAACACATTGACCAAGCATCTTCTGAGACACCAAGTAGAAGCAGGTAGATCAATGACATGTTACGTGTGCACAGGATGCAATGAAGTTTTTATCGATTCACTCAGTGGAAATTTGCACATTGACAACTGTATCCTGACAAATAATGGAAAAAATAGTATAATAGAAGAAAGAACTTTAACGGCCATGTACAGATGCGAGTTTTGTGAAAGATGCTATACAGATATTAAATACATGAAAATGCACCGAGCTTGCCATACCGGATTGCAACCATACGTATGCACCATATGCGACATAACATACGCAACTTATAATCAAGCAACAGCACACAAGTCTGCACATAAAAAATCCTCAAAGGAAGTAAACGTCAAGGAAGATGTAGTAATCCCAAAATATTTTTCATGCGAATGCTGCAATAAGCAATTCCTTCACTTCACCAATATGAATATCCACAGAAAAGCGTGTGCCAGTGGTAAAAACTGGACTTGTCGATATTGTGGCTTTGTTTTTGAAAATGCCAAAGAGCTTTCAAGGCACAAGAAAGGAAAAGACAACGAGAAAACATGGCCTTGCGAGGGCTGCAATATGATATTTGGATCTATCTGTGCACTTGAAATACATAAAGAGATTCACACGAAAGCTTATGCAAATAGAAAACTCTTCAAATGTCTTTACTGTGGAAAAGAGTTTGTTCAGGTAAGTTTTACCAAGAAATTATAAAGTTTTGGTATAGTCTACTCTGAAATGTAACATATAAAAATTGTATTCTCTTTGAATTACTTTATAGAAAACGCAATTGACCATTCATATAAGAAGCCATACTGGTGAAAGACCTTATGCTTGTGACTTGTGTGACAAGGCGTATAAAATCAAAGCTGAACGGGATAATCATCGTAGAACTCATACAGGTGAACGTCCTTTCAAATGTACACTATGTGACAAAACCTTTACTAATCCTGCTAGACTCCGGGAGCATACAAGATTTCATTCAGGCATACGACCTTATAAATGTAATCTTTGTGAACGCGCTTTTAAAAAGGCCAACGCGAGAAAGGTACACATGACCATTCATACTGGAGAGAAACCTTATCAATGTGATGTGTGTAGTACATATTTTAGAAGAATGGGTGATATGCGAAAACACAAAAAAACTCAGCATGGAGTGCGTGAAACAATAGAAAATAGCAGCGGCTCATTGAAAATTGATTAAAGTAATGTTTGTATGCAAATAACATTATTACTCTAGACACTTAAAAGTATTGTTTAATGGTATTCTTTACAATAATACATAAGTGTATACATTTTCTAGGAAAATATAAATCGTGTCAAATGTATTTTATACTAGATAACCTATGATAGGTTTGACTATACATCATATACTCTGTATATCATTCAGTGTATTATTAATTATTGCTAAATTGTTTAGGAAATTAATTTAATAATGTAAATGGCTCGCAAGTGTTCGATTCCCTTGGATGAGCTTGTAACCTGCGAAAAGGTGCGCTATTAACATTTCCCTAGATACGACTCAACCTATAGAATGATGCAGCAGGAAGGATTAATCATATATTAATTCTTCACAATACAGGACATTATAATATATATAATTAAGACGAGATGTGGGATTGTACAAAAGTCATAATTACTTCTTTAAATAAGCATAATCGTCTATCTTTACGTAAGACATTGACAATATGATTAGAACGAATTCTATTGAATAAAAGAATTAAATGTTTTTACTTGATTTACTGTAGATTATTTCCCCTGCCATTCGGATTGTCTTTTGGGATTCATTTATAATCTTATGAAATAGAAATTGCGTGAAATATAGAAAGAGAAGTACGTACACGATTTTAAATATCCCCGCGATTAGTAACATCGCGCAACAATCACCAATGAAAATGAACACGATTGGATGAAACAGTGAATCTGCAAAGGCCATCCATATCTAGGATTTTTCTTTTTTGGTAACGATTTTTGATATTTTTCAACAATCCCTTTAGTGATTACATTGGAACAGGTTCATCATATTTTATATAGTGATTACATAAACGATAAACAGTTGAAATAAACCTACGTTCATGCATGCCCGCATAGTCTGGCAGATAACCTTATGGAAAACTAATTTTACTCGTACAACAAATATATACAGGAAATCGTGCAACTTATTTAGGGAAGATAACATAACTTCTCTTGAGATAATAATAATATAATAAGTAAATATACGCAGATCTAATTATTATTTCATATAATTATATATCATTTTTGTTACGCTATTATCGCACTTTTTGTGGGTTACATTTTAACGATGTTTTGCTTTCAAATCGATTTTGTTTTTATGCAACAATGCTTATTTTATACGAGAACTTCTTTTTATAAGTAAAACGTAGCATAGCTTTTAAAAAGTGGACAGTGGGTACAAAGTTTCATATAAATGTTTATATGAATTATGATGCTATACTTTTTAGGATAATGATTCCATAATATATTTTTTCTGACACTGAAAATAATCCTGCGGTTTCATTTGTCATAGTGCAATATGTTGAAGTTAATTCTACAAACACAAGAGGGGCAACAAGTAGAAGTGTCCATACATCCCGAGGACACATTTGCAGATTTAAAAAAGCAATATGAAGGTCCAGAAAATTCTGTCTTACCAGAATTTTTAAAGCATCTCATTACCAATGGGGATGAAGTTAGCGAAGACACCAAAATACTTGATCATGTCACTAATAGTAGTAGGTGATTCAAAACACTTAATGTATATCTGTCGGAGATTCATGACATACAATTAATTGTAGAAGTAGATATTACATGTATGTTTATGCGAGTGACAATTTTTTCTAAACAATTATTTCAGCAACACTTGAATGGGCAATGGAAGACTCTATGGAAGACATGGATGATTTAGATTCAATAGATCCTGTACAAAATATCATGGTCGAAGCTCAGATAAAAGAATGCTGTGCAAATGAATGCATCAGTACTGAGTTAACGGCACCAGATAAAACATACTTTCCATTACCTAGTGATGAAACAAGGTATAGAACCATATAGGTTTATATATAGATCTAGAAAAATAGGGTAATATACAAGGGATATTTCAGGCTATCATCATGGCTAATAGGAATTGCTAGACCTGACCTACTCAACCCTGCTACACAATATAATTCTAGTTTACATCAAAAGTACTTTGTGTGCAGTGATCACTTTCAACAGCATCATTTCTTAAAGGGTACAAATCAAGTTTTGAAACGTCGTGCTTGTCCATCCATAACTCCAGGATGTAATACTGAGGCAGTACTTAATTCATCCCTTCTGAAACCTCAACCAATGTATGTCAAGACAGAAGTTAAAGGTAAATCGTAAAACAATAAAACTGTATGAACTTTAAATCTCTAGTCTACATTTTTTTCAGATTGTATATTGTTGCCAACTGAGGAAAACGAAACACTTAATGATTCAGAATCCAACAGCGACATGGTACAAACTACTAATGTTCTTATAGAACCGGAACATCCTGGCATACTTTGTCGTTTGTGTGGTCAGACAACAGAAGATCCCATTTATTTCTATGCAGAGGAGGATAAACAAACTGAATATAGTATAGAGGATAAAATTAATTTATGTCTTCCCATAACAGTGAGTCACTACAAACCATGTTAAAATTATTTTTATTATTATACAGAAGTTCTTGCATTCTAGGTAAATGCCAAAGATCCACTTCCAAAACAATTATGTCACCAGTGCCATGAAAAACTGAATACTTGTCACGACCTGGCTCTGACTTGCTTAGAAACCGAAGATATCTTAAAAAGTATGTTACAAACGAAACAGTTTCATGTAGATGAGACAAAGCACTGTCCTCTATGCATACAAGGAGAAATGCAAATAATTAAAAAAAGTGGGATCTATCGAAAGGATAAGTTTGAGAAAAATCCGAACATCCTGAGTATCCCTAATACAAAAGTGCAACAAGCAGTGCCTTCACAAAATTGTGTTATAGAAGAAAACGAAGTTGATGATGTTACTGAAAGTAAGTATATTGCTGTTAGTCTGAGTTATTCAATAATTAACTGATACTTTTACAGAAATGGAAAACGACGAGTCAGAATCGTTAGTTGAACATTTTGAAGACGAGGACATTTCTGCGAGTCCTTTATCAGTACCAGATACAGAGTTTTCCTGTTCAATTTGTAATAAAACGATAAATTTCTACAATGTCATCTATCACGCTGATCAGCATTCTGGTCACCAGTGTGTAATTTGCAAAAATGTTAAATTCAAAACTGCAAATGAGCTCCGGGTACATTTTTTAAAACATGGGCATTCACGCTTTGAGTGTGAATATTGTGCCATATCTGAGGACGTAATTGAAATGGCAGTAGAACATGTTAAATCATGTAAACCAGAAGCATGGGATATTCAGTGCGATCGCTGCGGTGAAAAATTTACAGAAGATGAGGAGACACATACTTGCTGTGTCCCAGAGGACGAAGACTGGTAATTAAAAATAAAATTATTACTAATTATACCAAGAATCAATTTTTAATAATAATCTATTTACTTCAGGTTCGAATGCGAGCAGTGTGAAAAAAAGTTCAGGCGAAAATCAAATTTGACAATGCACATAAAGTCTCACGAGAAAAAGGAAACAATGATGTACAAGTGTGTCTTTTGCAATAAACAATTTTCACGCAAAGGACGTTTGCATACACATCTCTCAATTGTACATCAGGATATCGACGCCATTGTGAGATTCAAGTGTTATAAGTGTAAAAAATGTAACGAGGCGTTCAGCAGCTCAGCCAATGCAGATGCTCATATAACGGAGAAACATTTTAGTCAACTGATACTTTCTGATGTAAATTATATAAACGATCAGTTTACAGTAGAGGAATTAAATTTGACAAAATTGTATATATGCGAGTATTGTGAGAGATGTTTTACAATACCGATTTCGTTACACGAGCATCGACAGAATGAACACTCACAAAATTCTGATTATCACTGCAATGTGTGTAATAATTCCTACGAATCACATAAACAACTTCTAAGTCACAAAAGTCTTCATAGCAAAAGTAATGAATTTGAAGATCTGGGTATCCGGCAGTATTACGTATGCAAATATTGTAACAAGACGTTTCTGCACTATGCATCCCTAAATGCGCATACAATTCAACACAGACAGCCGACACCTTATTTATGCCGACCATGTAACTTAAAATTTGCTACGTATAAAGAGATGGAAACACATCGTCAAGCAACGCATCCTTATCAATCAATTCTACATGAGGGACCAAACGGCTCTTATCAGTGTCACTATTGCAAAAAGAAATTTAGTCATGAACTTGGATTGATCAAGCATATACGAATGCACACTGGCGAACGTCCATATAAGTGTGCAGTGTGTGGCAAAGCATTTTCACAATCGTCAGGACTTTATACTCATCTTAAAGTTCATTCAAATTTGAGACCTTACACATGTTCTCAATGTCCACAGACATTTAAGATCAAGGGTGACAGAGATAATCATGTGAAAAAGCATTCTGGTAATCGACCATACAAGTGTGATTTTTGCCAGAAGGCATTCATGACACAGCATGTTTACAGTCAGCATAGGAAGATTCATACGAATGAAAGGCCATATAAATGTGATACATGTGGTGATGCTTTCAGAAGATCACATGTGTTAACTGTGCATATGAGACGGCATACTGGAGAAAAGCCACATGCTTGTGATTTGTGTCCTAAAGCATACAGACAGCGAGGTGATTTGTTAAAACATAAGAAGATGCAACATGGTACTAGCTCGAGTAGTGTTTTAAATTCTAATATTACAAATAACTCAAACAGTGCTTTAAAAAAAGCCAGTACATTATTGACTACTGATGCGACTACCGTACTTTTACCGATTTGACAACATCAAAGATATCTATTAAGAATGAACAATATACACCAATTTTCCCAAAAGCTAATCGATTCTCAGAACATAATACCATACGAGTGTTTTAAATAAATCTGTTTTTAAACAGTGTTATTGGCATTGCATACTACCCATGTTTATGTATAAAGCAATGTGAAATAGAAGCAGACAGGATAGGTCATACCTTGTCTTACCTATCAATAAGAGTTACCAAAAAATAATATATTTAAGAATCTTGAAACGCAGCTTTTACCTCGGCTTGGATTATCTGCTAATTAGTCTATATCGACCTTTCACTGATTCATCAAATTTAGTTTACAGCACTAATTAACATAACATAACCCATAACCCCAAATGTTTTAAATTAGTTATTTTCGATGAATCTTTCAGTAATTTATTAGATCTATCTATAAATGTGAAAAAGCTTTGGAAAAACAATATCAATGACATAGGAATCTTATAAATGTGACATATTAATTTTACAAATTTACCGACTAATCTAATGAATGATAAGTTTGTACTTACCGACCTCCAAACGTAACGTGAACGTTGTGATCACCAGCCGTTAATCTAGTAGATTAGACTTTTTGGTGGTGTTGATGGTATTTCCGTTGCTCAATGTAAATAAACTAACTAGACATGCCCGTTTATCAGGTGTCGCACGATCCTAATATGTAAAATATATATCTATATACAATATTTCTTTTGGTAAAGTTAACTGAAGGTGCCCTGGTTATCTAGGCTCAAGACACCATGCTCAAGACCTAGGCTCGCATGACGTCATAGCCCATAAGGTGGCAGCACATTTACTGACATTTACCTCTTCAGTCAATTGCAGTTAGCGGTATTTCTATCCGCATAGTGTAAATATGCATCCCATCTTACAACATCAAAATAATACATTACATTGAAATATGGCTTTGTTACGAAAAAGTAGCAGAATTTTGCTACCGCATACAAGATTCGGTGTTGCATGTCAACTTGAATTATCATATTGCGTTTTGAATAATCTAAGAAAAGAAGGTTATGTCAGACCGTGTACAGTGTTTATGTATAAGTCAATACAATATAACACTTATTCTACATTAACTAAAAATATTAAAGCAACTAATATTACTGCCGAAAAACAGTTGGAGTTGGCATTGATTTCACTGTGCAGTCGTATGCAGAAAAACCAAGTGAGATATCAAGACCTGATTTATATAATACAATGTTATGAAAATAATATAGAAAAACTAAATAAGCAGAATCTTTTGATATTACTTCAATGCTGTGGGGATATGTTACCATATATTAATTTGGAAATTCGTCGTAAATTGACTGACCGTGTTTGGCAGCTCATACAATCTGAAAATGAAAGATTAACATTAGAAAATTACAAAACTTTACTTCGTATCTATGGTCAAAACTATTCTTATGTAGACCCAAAAAGATTTTTGGAATCTATGGATGTTGAACCTGATGAAGAAACATACCAGCTTTTATTGAATGCTACATCAAAAACAGGAAATTATGAATTAGTGGCTACTGTGATTTCACAGATGAAGAATGAAGTACGTCTAAATGAAGAAACATTGAATGCGCTTGTGCTGGTTCATTCAATAAATGGAGACATAGAAAATGCCAAGAGTATTTTCAGCACAATGAAAACTGAAATGATCGGCCCTTCTAAGAATACCTATGCTAATCTAGCATATGGGTATGCAAAGATAGGACTTTGGAAGAATTTGCAAGAACTAATGGAAACTAACAAATTTGATACAGTACAGATTATGTGTATAGTGAAAACACTCAGTTTCTCGGATCATGGGATCTATATACCAGAAGTTTTACAATATTTGGAAACTCCAATTGACCCTAATGATCCTTATATTATAAACACTGTCATTGAGTTAACTCATGCACAAAAAATAGAAGATGGATATAAAATTATAGATTTTATCCCAATATCTCAACAGCCTGTAAATCAAGTTAACACACCCAAACATTACTTTTTGTATGAATTAGTAAATACTAATACGCCCATTGGCATCATCATATCTGTTGCTAATAAACTGGTAACATCTGGTAAAATTCCAACAGCATTCTTACAAATAGCAGAAATTGCACTGCGTCTAAAAGCAGAGAGTGTAGCACTTGCAATGTTTGAACTATTAAAAGAGAGAGGTATAGCAATAAAGCCACACTTTTATTGGCCATTGTTATTGAAGGCTTCTAACGAAGAAGGGGAAGCTAAAATATTACAACTGATCGACCATATGCAAAGGATGGGTGCAAACTTAGATTATGATACATTAAGTTCTTATATATTTCCATACATGAATTTGTCAGACCCTATCATAGCTTTACGAAAGATACAAGATAAAGGTGTAACAGCTTCTTATATAATAACACCTTTACTTTCAGTACTTTTAGTCAGAGGTGAAGTATTTTCTGCCAGTATGTTACTTAAAACAATAAAATGTAAAATAGATCACCTATCGATTTTGAAACAACTCATTCTGGGATATAAGATTTCAAAAGATATTAACAATTGTACAGCAATTTTAAAACTATCAGCAGCCAATTTTGATTTTGGAGGAATATTTCTGCAGGATTTAATATCAGATAAAAAAAATGAATTAACTATGAGAGAACTCAGTTCATTCATAAAGTCGTTCAAGATATATCAATTGTTCATATCCAGCACTAGTGGGAAAATTATTAAAAACAAAATCATGGAATTAAGTGGTAATGAAATGAAAGAAACATCTTTTGAAATGATCGAACAACTGGTGGATCCTACATTGGATTTGCCAAATACAGACCATTTCACAATGATACCACATCCAAGCCAAATGACTACAGAAGAATTAGAAAATCATTTAACAGAACTTCGAACCAAAGGATTAAATACACGAGGTGTCTTAAGAAAGTTACTCCAATCTTATTGCACCGAGAATAATCTACAGAGAGCTCAAGAGATTAGAGCAGAATTTGATGAAAATGGTTTCAACTGGACGCCCGGTATGAGAAGTGCTTTGTTTGATTTATATTCAAACAATGGGATGATAAATGAGGCCCAATCTGAATTAACAAAGTTAAAAGTATATCATACCAACTTTCAAATAGACGATCAAAAAATCTTGAATTATGCGACTGTACTTGTCAATCAAAATAATATACAAATGGCACTGAATCTATTAAATGATCATAAAGTCGTAAAAGATGATTCAAATATATCCAAGAATTGTTGGCAGTTTTTAAATACAGTGGCTCATAAAAATCCAGATCACGTGGAAAAGTTATTTAATCTTTTGATAAGTAAACATTTTTGCAAGATTAATAACGGCATACTTGGTCCCCTAATAAGAGTACATTTATTAAAGAATGATGTTGTATCCGCTGTGGAAACTTTCAAAAAATTAGAGAAGAATTATCAAAAGGTGCCACTGCTGCAAGAAATAATGATGGCCCTTATCAGTTCGAGTGATAAGACATGGGCGGAGAAGCAGCTACAAGAAGTTTATGATATTGCAAAAAAAATCGTTAATATACGTACAGTAAATGCATCACTACTCGTTGCATTGGCTAAATGCAAAAAATTTAAAGAAATTCACAATTTGTTACGGGTATAAAATATTTTTCCTCCAATCCACTAATGAAAGTATTTCAAATCACGTTAAACTCATATTTTTTTTTAATTCCAGACACAAGGAATTTCAGAAGACAAATTATCTTCTGCATTAACTTTTGTGCCAGAGGAGACTAAACTTCCAATTCTATTTACAATTCTTGAAGCGAGTCGAGGAATCCCAGACACATATATAAATTTTATTTATAATTTAATATTATCTGTTTATAGTAAGTTTATTTATATTGATTTTTTGTCGCTCATAGTTTATCAGAATGTAACCTGACTTTGTTTGATGATACAGGTAGAGCGGGAGATTATGAAGGAGCTATGACTCTATGGGAAAAGATGATCTCTGAAGACATTCCTCCAACGAAGTGGTTTAGAGATCATTTCATTGAGTTATTATCATCTCACAAAATTGAATTACCACAAGACTTTCCTGTAAAAAGGTACCAAGACGAAATAAACAGACGAAAATAACTTTTATCCAGCGAACGTTTAATAGACTGATTTTGTACACTCCTTCAATACAGAATTGTACTGACCAACTAGAACAAAAACTCTATCCTTCAGTGGACCATAATTAGCTTTATTACGCTGTTCTATAATAAAATCCTCGATAGTCTTGTTACTTTGCTGTAACTTTTGAAGTTTACCTTCCAGTGAGCTAATCTGAAGGTAAGTTTCATTCTTATCCAGTCGTGACTTAATTTCCTCATACTCGTTCTTCACTGCAGCCAATTCCTGCTTGCAAGACGGTTGCTCTGCATTAAACTGATTTTTTTGTGCAAGTAACTCTTCTCGTCTCAATTCAGATCTTGCCTTTAAACCGTCTAAGTCCTCCAGGACGACGAGTTCATTTTGTCTTTTATTGACCTTTTCGTTGAGTTCGACAAGCTCAGCCTTAAGTCTCTTCTCCAAAGTTTCCATCTTGATTAAAGTTTGCTGCAACCGTGAATGCTCCTTGCTCAACCCTTCGAAACTCTGTTCGCCACTCGAACCATCATAATCGATATTAGCTGATTGTATATTGAGAAGAGCCAGTTCATCGCCAGACCCAAAGTGAAGATCGCTATCTATACTGTTTGATAACTTTGCCAAGCGTTCGACTACAGTACGTTCCAATTTCTTGAGTCTCTCCAATTCCTCGTCTTTGTTCTGATCAAAGGTCGACATAAATTGTTCCATTGCTTCTTCTCGTTTGCGCAATTCCTTATACTTAACTTGTTTTTCAGATTGACTCTCCTCTAAATCTGTTTCCAATTGCTCTAATTCTTGTTCCATCTCAGACATACGTTTCTTTAAATCAGCTGTTTGTCGTTCAGCCGCAGCAATGTCAGTATTGTCGTGTTTGACTTTTGCTAATAAACGTTCTTTCTCTTCTTCGGGTGTCAATCTGTTCTTTTTCTCTTCACGTAATTTATCCCTCTTCTCTTCGACTTCTATGATCTTCACACGTAGCTTTACTGCTTCCTGTTTCACTTGGGACAGTGCAATCTGCTCCTCCATATTCGATTTCTCTAGTGACAACTGATCCAATTCATGTTGCATATTGTCAATAGTTTCTTGCAACTCTAACTTTTGCTTATGTAAATTATCATATTTTTCGCGAACGTCAGGCTCCATGTTTTCCACAATTCTTTCTGTATTTTTACGCTCAGATTCGATGCTTTTCTCTATATTACGAAGCTGCAATTCCTTTTGCTGTCGTTGCTCGAAGATTTGTTCAATTTCTGCCAAGGTGTGCTCATTTATCTGTCCCAATTCCTTGGCCTCTAATTCTATCGTATCCTTATCCGTATCAGATGCCATTTTATCGACAACTATATTATAGTCAGCCAGTTGACCTTGCAAATCCGTTAACTCAGCAGCCATGTCTTTTGCTCGTTTGTCGTAATGCAAGAAAGTCGCTCGCTCCTTGCTCTGACTATCAATTTGCCGTGTGATAGTCGCTATCTCTTGGGTAAGCTCTCTGATCTTCAACTGCACAAGACCTTCATAATATCGTTTATCCTGAATTTGCCTACATAAATAAAATTAAATTTACCATTATAAACTATTTTTAAAATTTAATAAATTTTATGAACTACCTAGTCATGGGCAATCCTCTATTGGTTCCTGGTCGAACACCAGCTATGCCTTGCTGCGTAATAGGACGATCCATGGCATTCATGTTCATCTGCCCGGAGCTGGGTAATCCTGTATTTAAACGACCCAAACCTCCAGAAGAACTCATTGTATTTAACCGTGTATTAGCAGTGAGTACTCTGCTTGAGAAAGTCGAAGCTGAGGGTGGCCTAGCCAGCGGATTCCTCACTGGCGTTGCTGATCGAAATCCACCCGAAACACGAAATTCAGTTGCCTCGTTCTTAATGCCTCTACGAGAAGTTGGTCTCTCGATTTTACTCTGGGCTCTGGTTGTTCCTGAAGATGTTCTCTCGGCCCGATTTTGAGTTCTTTCTACAGAGTCGTCCTGATCTCTCCTCCATCGAGTGACCGGCCTCTCGCCAACTTTCTCATTTGTGACTCGCTCCAACTCCATTACTACAGGATACAAACTAATTAAGCAACACGCAAGGTTTTTGTATTAACGAAGTATTCGCGTTGTCCTAATATTGGACCTTCTAACTCCGTGTCTCACTTGCGATTACCAATGCGATACAATGTTATCGCTTGTGGTGCTCCTCATCGTCATGGAAACCTGAGCGTTCCAGGGTACCATGGATATCGTATCATAAATCTTCCTTCATTCCCCTATAGCTCCTAGAAAGTACGTGGCAGAGAAAGTTGCTATCTCTAGAATTTACAAAAGGTGCATTACACTAATAATAAGAAACAATAATTTCCTATGCAAAGATAATAAAATAAGAAAAATACAAATTTATGTAACGTTCACAGCGTTGCTGCACGGATCTGTAATATAAATTTGACTTTATATACTCATTGTAATTTCTTCTAAAAAGATTCTCACAATAAGAAATGAACTATGACCTCAAGGTACGAAGAGATTGTGTGAACCTGGAATACATTCATCATTTCACAGTGGGAGTCATGTAAATTCAAATGAAACTAAAGATTATACACTTCTATAGCATCCTCGATAGACAATCCGATAAAGTTTACTAAGAACCTCCATTCATAAAAACAATTTAAATCTAATCTTGATGCATTTGTTAACCCGGTATCTAGCCCCAATTCATTCTAGTTTAAAGAATCTGACCAAATTCAATTTTCTTTTCAAAGTCAAGAAGATAGAAAAGAGAAACGATAGATGGCACCAGTAGTATAAGCGAAAAGAAGCAAGCAGTTGCTAAGCAACTAGAGTGACGCGGCGTGGCAGACAACCGAGGATGGACGGCGGCCCCCCAAAGTTGAATTAATATACGGGCGTCCAAGAATATCCTCGCCTAGCCTCGGGGTAGCTGCTGCCTACCGGCACTACTACGGCAACCTACGTCGCGGCTAGGTTGACCGTTCTACGGAAGAAAGGCGGTGTTTCCATTGAGAGAATATCATCTTGGCGTAGTTCAGTTTTAAATCGTCCACCGCGTGGACGCATATTCGCCTTCGGGCTTGCAGTTCCTTTTACGAAGGATAGTATCGCCGAAAAAATTCTGATGCTCGGATAAACCGGTTTCGACGCGGCGAACTCCTCGTGCACGAGAATGCTTTGAACTGTGACAAGTGTCTGTGCGTAATAGCCTGGTGTAAATAAATACACCGATCAAGGAATCGATAGCCAATCGAAGATACAAAACAGACGAATATGGACGAGGAGGAAATCGACGGGGTTAAATCTCCTATCAAGAGGCTTGGCTCTACAAGGAAATTACTCGTCTTCAATAGTAAGTTCTTAAACAGGAGTGAAATCTTTATAAAGTGTCGCGAGTCAATGGCTTTTCCATTCCTAACGGTTGTGTCAGGGTTTATGGCAGGGAGACGAGGTAATACGAACGAACATTATATAAATTCTTAAATTATTTTATTCAGGAGGAATACATTATTTATGTTTTTATTAAGAATACCTCGAGTCTTGAGTTTCTTTCTCTACAGTTTTGCACAGTAATGCTTTTACGGATTTTGATATTCTGCCTGATATCCTTTAGAAATTGCTATAGTGCATTATGAATCGTAACGTTCTTAGGATTATGGAGGAATCAAAGAATGCACTTTCACTCCTCACAATCCTTATTGCTCGTTCGATTCTACAGAAACATCCTGACTCGACCTTCTTACAATGACGCGAAACCGGTGTGTATTCAAATATATTCTGAAATCTATTAAATTATTGAGCATCCGTATTCTCTGTTATTGAATAATTGACATATATATTATTTAATCGTATTGTTTTTGGCTCGCCACTGATTATTCAATTGCTGAATTTCATAAAAATTGTGTATTGTCCATTGTAAGGCGTCGCTTGACTCTTTTACGCATTCGTAAAAATCTCACGTAGCACAGTCGACGCCATTGGTCGTACAGAACAGGTGCAATTTGTTTATGTGCTACATATAGGCCTTCGAAAAATGGCAAAGCACCAAGGCATCCAAGTGTATGAGATAAAATCATATTCGAGAGGTAAAAGTTAAGACTGGCTCTTCGTTTGGTGAGAAGGTGAAGAGAGGAGAGAAGAAGATCGGTTAGGCAGATGCTGCGAATTCCCTTCGTTCAATACATTCGCTTCGGATAAAATAAACAAAGCTCACTAAGAATATACAGATGTAGTTTTTTTCAATTATGCACGAGTGTTCTCCTTTGCGCGTGTAAAGGATATCTGTATATAATGCGGCAGCCATGTATCTCAGCAAATGTGTAGATGTACGTACGTACATTCGTCGCATTTTTGCAGCTGCTTGTATTTCGAATAGAAGATACGCAAAGACGAGCGTTGAATATCCACCCCGGTTAGTATTCAGGAAGGTTTGTTTAGATTTAAAACGGCTTCTCGCACTCTCGAAAATATTTTAATACCCATGTACAAACGTGGGACCCGAAAAAAAAAAACCTTTGAAATGTCTACGAATCAACAAAGATATACCAAAATCAGATTCAACTCGGTCGGTTCGGCAGAATTCCTGGTTGCCGACTTTTATGTTATCCAGAACGGAGCAATTAATTGTTCCGCCAGGTTCGAGAGTTATTTGACCGAGCTAATGTTTATACACGAAACGTAGCCAAGATTACCAACATCGTTTATAATATGGAATGTGTACAAGAAATTGTTAGATCGTATTTTTTCCTCATTGCGAATAAAAGGGACCCAATCAGCCTATCGCGAGAAAACCGCCTGGCAAACCGCGGTTAGATAAAATATACAATCTGGAATTAGACGTCGAACAGAATATCGGATCAGTGGGTGTTCAAAGCTTGCGCAAATTTTCGTACTTCTAGCTTACCAAATTTATATATACAGCAGAGGATTTATTTGTGTGGCAAGTATGAAAATTTATCGATAAAATATTGGTTTTCTGTCCATTTTACATTTTGCTTCAAGTTGTGAGAGGCATGGGGACTCACGTTAAACAAGCTGCAAGTTGAAACTTGCAATTTGCTTCCTCCGAATCGTAAGTAGTGTACGAAGTCCTTATATGAGGAAGCATTTTCATTTTTTTTAATCTTTGGCTTCCTCATAGATGAATTTTCATCTACTACCCACGATTCAGAGGAAACAAATTGAAAAATTAAAATTCTTGGCATCCTCATACAGGGACTTCGTACACTACTTACGATTCGGAGGAAGCAAATTGCAAGTTTCAACTTGCAGCTTGTTTAACGTGAGTCCCCATGCCTCTCACAACTTGAAGCAAAATGTAAAATGGACAGAAAACCAATATTTTATCGATAAATTTTCATACTTGCCACACAAATAAATCCTCTGCTGTATATATAAATTTGGTAAGCTAGAAGTACGAAAATTTGCGCAAGCTTTGAACACCCACTGATCCGATATTCTGTTCGACGTCTAATTCCAGATTGTATATTTTATCTAACCATATTAGCGAATTCAAGTTGAAAAACATACGTTGAAGAATTCAACTGTTACGAGAGTAATAACGTTATCGCTTTCTAATTATAGTACACGAGATAGGAATACTAATTAGTTTATACTCTGTTCCAATATAGGCATACTAATTTTTTTTTTTTTTTTTTTTTTTTTT